GGGTCCCAGCAAAATGGAATCCCTGACAAGTCGTCTGTTCTCCGTTGACAGCGATGTCACGGGTCCGGTTGTGAGGATTGCTCTCTCTGTCCATTGACTTGCAATCCACGTTGAAGGCTGCAGTCCTTTCATTTCCACCAGCAAGTGCTGTGCGTCTTCCTTGCTTCCAGTGAGCAAGGATGTGCTATCCACAAATGGCAGGTTGGTGATCCTTTGCCCACCTTCCTCCTCCTTCGTTTAATCTAGCTTCTTGGATCATTTGCTCAGCCTTCAGATTAAAGAAGCATGGTGAAAGGATACAACCATGATACACTTCTGTTTTTAAACCATGCAGTGTCCCCTGTCCTTAGGGAATCCTGAGATGAGGTATGTAGCTCCTCCATACCTGTTGTCTTAGACTGGCTTCTCTAACAAAGCAAAAACAGTGAAGCTTACATATGTATGCATAGAACAAGGTTTATGTCAGGGAAATAACTCACAGACTTGTAGAAAGTGGTTAAATTTCAAGCCCATGGTTCAGATGTCAGCCTGAAGGCTGCTCCGGACTCAGGGCCTGCAAGGGCTTGTGAACCCAAGATAGCAGAAAGATGTCAGGCTTCTGACTGCAGAGGTGAGCGAATCCAAGGTCACAGGCAAGGTGTGAGGGCTCCCAGGATTGACAGGCAATATGGCAGGTGGTGGGCTCAAGTCCAAAGAACCAGATCCAGGAAGCAGATGCAGGATCCAAACTAAGCAAGGAGCAACCAAGCTTTTCCAGGGCGTCCACTTATATTGGAAGCAGGCCACACCTGGGAAGATCTCATCATTGAGGATTACTGGATCTTAACTACCCAAACCACTGAAATCCCCGGCTCAGTCACGTTGACACATCTTTAATTGCCGTATCTATGTCTGCATGTCCTGTGTGTGCATGGGGTTCTCTTGTCCCTCCGTGGACCCAGTGTGGCCAGAGACCGTGTGTCAGAAAGGTCTGTCTGTGAGGGTGACTGGGCTGCTGCTAACCAGGCACGCGGCCCCCTCACCTCTCCTCCATCTTCTGGCCAGCCAAATCGGGTGACTTTCCAAGGTGGAGGAGGTTCCTACCTCAAGCTTGGCCCTGGCCTCATCCTACTTAGCTAGAATCTTCGAAACAAGCAAGACATCACCAGTTTACATGCCAGCCAGCCGAGGAACTGCCTGTGCCTGGCTTCGAGGAATTTTCTTTCTTTTCTTTTTGAGTTTAAATGCATTTTATTTTTAGACAACCTACACGACATGTTTTTCCTTAAAAAAAAAAAAAAAGCCTCCGCTCCAAATAAATCAGGGTCAACAGTAAACGAAGAGCTCACGATGACATCTGTTCCGTTTGTCTCGGTCCCGGTGTCCTGTGGGTGGACAGCAGCCCGTTGGGATGAGAGGCATCGGTCATAGGTTGCCCACCTTGTTAACCCGTCTCCATCTCTCAGCCATCCTGAAAGAAGATCATATATGGGGTCACACCATCCTCA